AGAGAGAGAGAGAGAGAGAGAGAGAGAGAGAGAGAGAGAGAGAGAGAGAGAGAGAGAGAGAGAGAGAGAGACAGAGAGAGAGAGAGCAGCAGTACGTCATGCACAGCAGGAGAGGAGGAGGGGAAAGAAAGGCAGCAACTTGTACAGATTGTCTGTAAGTTATAAAGATTTTACATCATTTTGCAGGTATACGGACGTATAGAGCAATCTCACGGATTTTTTCAAGTCTTACGGATATTTTAAAAACCTCATTTTCAAATTTATCTAACATGTCAGAGCCTATAGGATGATTTAAAAAACAATAAATATAACATCAAACAGCCATCTTCCAACCTGTTCTGCCTCTAGAAATAAGTTACTTTTTCCTCTCTCCTTTCCTCCTGCTTCGCAGCAAGCGCTTTCATGTCCGCAGCTGACCACCCCCCGCGGGTGCGAGTTGTAAGGATTTTTTGCAAAATTTATTGATTTTTAGGGCTCTTTATACAGGTAAACTACTTTTATTCCTGATTTAAACTAGCGATCGTGAGCAGCTGTATGCTTTTATTTTTTTCTGTCAGGCTGTCGGAGCGCTCCTCCTCCTCTGTCCGGGGCTGGTGTGGGGTTAAAATCCTCCACCTCAGACGTTCAGAGATGTAACTATCTGCGATACTGTGGTCACTCTCCATGTAGCATCAATTATGCTAATGYTAGCTGCCTGTCACGTTCTCTCGTCCTGGCCATACCTCCGCTCTCTAATCCCCCTTCCCCTACAGAGAAGATACACTTTAAATCCAAAGCGTTCAGATTCTGTTTGATAATTTGATATAAATCTTGTTGCAGGAATCCCAGGAGCCAAAGGTCACAAGTTGAAGTGAGTGCTGAGATCTACGGGGAGCTGTCTACCAACCTCTTCAAGTTAGAGAAGGTTTGTTGTTGTCAGCCTTTGCTGAAAAGCAGGAGTATTTGTTTGTTAGCAAAATATTTCAAACCACTGAGCAGAAAATGTCAGGAAGAAATCACTAAATGTACCGTATCTTTCGGACTATAATGGTGCGTTCACACCGAACGCGATTTCAGCTTCAAAATCGCAGCCAACGCTGAAGTCTGAAGCTTGTGCACTTTGAGGTCAGACGCAGGACAGTTGTTGAAGCGCCGCACGGCGACAGCCGCCACGCCCCTCCCTCCTCTGTCGGGCTCTGTTTAATGTCGGACGAGGAAGTGGCTTTGCTTTATTTACAGAGAGCAAGAGCATGTCACCTCATCAGATAATTAATTCATAATTAATTCACCAGATAATTCAGAGAAGAGGCTCACAGCTGCTTTCAGGACTATTTTTTTCAGTCTGATGAGTCGCTGTCACGCATTGCTGCGGATCAGGACACGACTGCAGSMMCTCATTTTAGCTAAAGAGCAGGAGCTCCGTCTGTTTCAGGTTAGTGGACCTCATTCAGTAAACTGTCCCGTCGGGAAATATGTCGCTACGTCACACAGTGGAGTCTCTCTGATTGGTTGACGCTGCGCGTCGAGCTGCAAAAGTTCAGATTTCCCAACTTCAGCGATTTGAACGATTTGGACGATCTGAGCGTTCGACGCTCAGATCGTCCAAATCGTTCAAATCGCGCTGCTCTAATCGCGCTTGAGGCGCCGCAGAACTTCCCGACGTTGCTTGAAGCGCGTCCACCATAGACTTTGCATGTAAACCTGCTGCTCCTGACGCTGAAATCGCGTTCGGTGTGAACGCACCATAAGCCGCGACTTTTTTCCTGAACTTTGAACCATGCGGCTTATAGTCCGGTGCGGCTTCTACGTGGATTTTTTTCTTCAGCCACCAGGGGGCTCTTTAGCCGGAAGTGTGGTTGCCGTAAATAAAAGGAAGAAGACGTAAGTGCCATTTTGTTTTAGCTAGTAGCAGACACTACACGCTTAATCTTCGACAGACACGACAAAATATTTCTCTTCGAATTCAAACGCGCTCATCATGGAAAAGAATAGAAGATCTTCCTATCATGCCACTTTTAAGTTGAAGGCTATCGAACTTGCGCAACAGGAGGGAAATAGAACCACTGCACGTAAGCTCAGTCTGACCGAATCAATGGTTTGCTTTGGAGACGGCAGCAGGAAGAACTTGTTCAGTGCCAAAAGACGAGAAAAGCTTTCAGAGGACATCACCAATGTGTTCCGAAAGGCTGGACTGCTACGCGAAGAGGGCACCACAGCTTCAGAGCCAGCATTACCCCGGGAGGACAGCGACACAGAAAGCAACACTGAACAGATACCGCTGTGTGACGCAGCTTTTCTCAGCTTGTTTAACTCCGACACTGAAGAAGAGGACTTCAATGGTTTCAGTGCGCCAGAGGAAGATGAATGAGACGTTTGGTTGGACCAGAAACTGTTAAAGAAAACTACCAAAATACGGTCAGTTAAATGAACCGTATTCCTCTGAACCAAACCTAAAGGTTTGCTTTTTATGTTTTGATTCTAGACCTCTCGCTTTTTTTTTTACAAGAGTTTTATGGTTTGTTGTTTTTTTTTTACTCTGATATAAAAAAAACACTGCAAATTGACAATCATTAACTAAAAGTGATGGCTTTTTGTCTTGTTGAATTAAAATTTTCCCATTTAGCTTAAGATAAGCTGAAAAATATTTTCTGTCAAGACATTTGAAATTATTTTTTTCATTATTATTATTTTGTACCGGTAAACTAGCCAACTTTTTTCTTAAATAATAAATGTGATGTTGAATTCACTTTTTTGACGACAATTTTGGGTGTACTGTTTTTTTTTTTAAATGTTGGGGGTGCGGCTTATAGTCCGAAAAATATCTGACTATTTACATGTTGACATTAACCTCAGTGGTGGTCCACTCCAGACAGCTCCAGCTCGTCCCTCAGAAGTCCCGGCTGGATGGTGTTGAAAGCACTGGAGAAATCAAAGAACATGATCCTCACAGTGCTTCCAGACTTCTAAAATAGATTTTATTTTGTGGTTTTGAGTGAATGGATAAATAAACACATACTTTATTTAATATCAGTAGTATAAATTCTGTATATACATTTAGATTTTAAATGGTTTGTGGTGGGTGTCCCTTATTTTAATTTCTTAAAGGTGGCAACCCTACCTACCAGCTAACATGCTAACTCTTGTTGCTTGGTGTGAACATTTTTTTAACTCTATTATCTTGAAAAGAAAGTGTTGCTTTTCTTTTAAACAAGACATGACCGACTGTGTTATCCACTGGAACCAACCACGTCCATTTTAATGTGCATAAAGGTTTAGGGAAATACCTCTTAATGATAGCTCAGGGCCACTGGTAGGACAGACTTTCTCTTTGGTATCTCCTTTAAAGATGCTGAAATCACAGGAATGGTATGATGGGAAAATTGTAGTTACTTAACTGTGACTTTTTAACACTGGTACACCTTGAACACTTTGAATGCACAAAAGTTAAATTACAAGGTTTCACCAAACAGCAATAACTTCTCAGCATAAGATGTTTTTTTGGTCTAAAACTGATCTAAAAATTATCATATGCATTCTGTCAAGGAATACTTTGCCTTTAATACTAAACATGGTTTCGACAATACCTCTGATATAATCCATTAAACTGGATTATTGGGTTGTTTTAAAAAGAAGTGAACTGAAAACGTGTGAACACAAAGGTGGTTTCAGAGGGGTTCATACTTGTTGTTACATAAACCATATGGCAGCGTGAGACAGTTTAAATGAGATACTATTTCATGTTTGCACAGTAAACATGGAGCCAAACCCTGCAGCAGGTTGGCTCAGTTTAACAAACAGACTGGAAACAAATGTAAAACCAGGTGCCTGGCTCAGTCATACAAGGAAAATAAGAATAATAATTACAAAAAAAAAACAAACATTATTTCTCTAAATATAAGAGCAAAAGCATTAAACTTTGAGATCATTCTGCGCTTTAGGTAAAATCTTGACTTATATGTTTTATTTTGTTTTTAGTTTCATCTGTTTTAGTAAACACAGATAAACAGAAAGTAAACACATCAGAGACAAACTAAAATTGCTAATAAAATTTAGCATTATTTAAATGACACCAAAATTTTTTTTGTCATGCACCATTAAAGGCAAATTTTTCTGTCCTGTTAGTTTTTCCTTACAGACCACAATGCTACAATTGCAATTACTATAAGTATTTTATGTTTTTAAGAAGATACACACACACACACACACTATATACAGTATATATATACATGTAAGCTGTTTGCATAGGCTGCGTAAAATGGTTGTGAAATGAGGCAGTCTAGTCAATGTTTGCATGACCCTGTTACCATAGTGTTCTGTTTTATATTAAATGCCTTCATTTGGAACATAAAAAAAATGTTACACAAAAAATAAAAATAAATTGGGTTTAGCTCCAGTATCCCATAAAGATTTTTTTTGAAGGTTTTCCTTTTTAGTTTGCTGATGGTGCAATGAATCCTGGAATATCGTCAGCCTTGTAGAATATGCAGATGCAGCCTACATTTTTGGGATTTTGTGGGTCGCATAAAGGGACAACCACAATTTGGGACTCAGTTGGGACACAATACGGCACAGTGCAATGACGTAACCGGTCTACAAATGTGCCCTACCTGGGCTGCAACCTCTGAATTGAGACACAGCCATTATGTTTTGGATTCAGCCCAATTCAAGATGGCCACCACAGCTAAGTGAACTTAGCAAAAACAAAAATGGCTACAGTTGTGCAGGTATTGATCTGAATTTTGATGTTTGTAACAGAAAGTCATCCTGAATCAGCCATGAGTCATCCTGAGTGTTTACACATTTTGTGAAATCCCACAATATGCTTCAAACAAAGTGTCATCGACAAGGTTTAACCAAAATGGCTATAACTCATGAAAAACAGTGGGCAATACACATTACTACAAGTACTAGACTGGTTATTAATTGACTCATATGTTTGTTGCTCTCTTTTCTCTTAGATTCAAAGAAACCTCAGGAAGCTACTGGAGGAGACCTCGAAGGAGTCTGTTGTGGGCTGATCTGTCCAGACGGAAGCTTCACTTTTAATTAGAGAGGCAGTGTGAGCTCTGCCGAGCAGCACAGTTGGTTGCTCCATTGCCAAAGCACAGAGAGCTGTGTTTAGAAAGCTGTGTGAACATTCGTTGTGCAATAATGATATTATCCTCTTTCTGCTTTTCACTCAGGACTTCTTCTGTTCCTCACTGTAAGGATGTCTGTGCTGCAGCTGTAGGGTCACGTCAGGCAGGATTTCTGTTGCTTCAACATCCGTAGATTTATGGGTCAAAGGGGTCAAAGGTCACATGTCAGTGTTTTCACAATTTCCTTAAAAGGTCAAAGTGCTGTTCAGCAGATTTTGTTAACTATGGAAGGTTTGTAAATTATATTTACACGATGTCAGTAAATCACTCCTGAGGGGATCTTTGCACAACAGGCTCATTCCTTTTTATAGTGTAGAAAAGATTTTTTTTATCTATTTGTAAATAAATAAGTGCTTTATTATACATATTAACATTTTGATGATACTTTAGAATCAGTTTAAGTTAGTTGAGTTTAAAAGTTTATTTATCAAAAAAAATCAACCAATCAATCAATCACTAAAAGTCTTAAGTTTAGTAGATGTAGATATTTTATCAAATAAACATTTTTGAAAATGTTTCCTATCTTACTTTTGGACTCAAACTGTGTTAAATTATGTGTATGTTTGCTCCATGCAGGGACTGAGCCAGAGACCCTCTCAGTAGCTGCTGAACTATTTGCTTCAGTAGTTTTTTTTAAGCTTATGATTATATAACACAGATCGCAGAGATGGGGATTCGTGACTGTTCGGTTTTTTTTAACCTAGAACTCAGAGAAACACAACAACCCCCCGAACATTAAATCAATGACAACAGAGACGAAATGAGATTTTTTAAGATTCACTTTGCAAAGAGGAGAAGTTCCCGTTACTCAACTTTGCTCGAGAGCTTAGTGAAGTCCAGAGAAGTTCTGACCTCTGTGGGCGTGATCAGTCTTTTATTAAAATACGTAAATGTGGCATCACAAGTAAAACAACGAATCAACATCATTTGCTGGAGATATCACAAAAYACAGGAACCAATGAAAATGCCGTTGCTGGGGTTACGATATCTTTAAAGGAACAATGAATACTTGTTTTTTACCCTTGAACGTGGAAACTTACAGGAATGTGGAGAAATGACGATTTCGGCAATTAATTTTAACCTAATCTTACAGAAACTGCTCATAAGCAGTTTCTTGGCAGCTAGATTTAACCTTATCTTACAGAAACTGGCCTTGAGTGCAGTTCCCATCCGGCTGGCTCATCATGTTCCTGTAGAAAACACATTTTGAACTAAACATTGGTAACGTACTAAAAACTTTATTTGATACACACAATGAACTTTAATGAAATGTAATAAAGAAAAACCTTTTCAGTGACCCAGACTTGGACTTGAGTCGCGTTTAAGTCCCAACGATTAGAGACTTAGACTTGACTTGGACCCTAAAAACTTGAGACTTGGACTTGTGGTTTGAGACTTACGAACAATGCAAGTCTTTTCACTGCCCGGCTCACGATTCTCACTCCCTCAATACACATCCATGCTCCGCTCCTTTGGGAACAAATGCATAAAGTTTTAAGAGCAAAGATATTTACTCCTGCTCTCAAATAGAAAATATACGCTCTTGAATAATTCTTCCATACACTCCCCCCCCCCCCCCTCACCTGAGAATGGGAGGGGCCAGCACTGTCCAATGTTAATGATGTGTACCGAACATGGTAAACAGAGCTTCAGCATGGCAGGTGTGTTGCAGTAGGCAGCTTCTCTGCCATTCATTATAAGCTTTGATTACAGAGACTTTATTCAACGCCATAACAAGAGACTTGCAAAATGCGAAGTGTGTGGAGTCCAAATCCTAAATTAGTTTTTGTGATGACTTGTGCAGCCCTTTTACTTTAAGGATTCTGGTTCATCATCTTTGCTGACATGTTTTTATGCATTTAAAAAGATTTTTTTCTGGTATTTTATTGTAAAATCAACAGCAGACTTGTTGGATTTGTTCTTTGTCAATGAAAATATATAATTACAGTATAATTACATTATGCTTTTGTAAGATTACAAGTGCAAAATACAGTTAACAAAACTCTAAATGCTTGATTGTT